AACAGGTTTATTTCACTCCATCATAGCATAGTCTATGAAATGATGTCCCTGCAGTGTTGTGTATTCTGTTGGTTTGAATGTCAGATGTTTCAGACAGCTTCACCATGCCTCCTCCTCATCCTCCATGTTTCTAGTCTTTTCATAAAGTTGGGAGCTATTGGTGATTTGAGGAGTGGCTCTTGAGACGATCCTCAGCGTGTTCCAGATGAAGGGTTATTGAGCGGCCCTCTGCCTAGAGCCACGGAGAGCTTGACCCCCCCATCCTGTCGATGATTAACCTCCGGGGATTGTCGACCAAATCGCCAGGTGCAATCGATGGCTTCACAACTGTCACACTGACCACTTCCTCTAATGACGACCAGCTAATTAGTTGCTTCTCACTGCAAGGGCATCAACTCTTCAATAATTTATTTAGCCTTTTTTATTCTTAGAGGTATAATGTCCTGTTGTCTGTGCATGTCTATCTGCCACCCTGCTATTGTCTCAGTCTCATTATTACAGCAAACCGGACCACTAGATTCAATGTGAATTCAGCCAAGGGTTACAACTTCAGATCAATGCTCAAGTGTCTTCTATAAATGATAATTTACCTGCTAATGTCATACTTCACTCCCCTGCTTGAATGTAACCTGCACTGACAAACAAGCACAATAAATCCATATAGTTTACACTCATACGAGACGCAAAATGAAGTGTTTAATTTAGTTTCCTTATGACAAAATAATCCTGTCTACTGTACCAGAACTCAACTCTAATCGTTCCACAATGCCCTGTTGGACTGCTGTAGGCTTCATCATTATTAACTCATCGTTGTTTTATAAACCACAAAGAACCACGTTTTTCATTTACATTGGACCTGATGATGATCAGGTCACAGCATATACTGTAATTTGTATTTATTGTGTATTTTTGTATTTATTGTTTCATATGTATGAAATGTATGAATTATGCGTCAGGATTGCTATTGTAATGTTATTCTACTTGTACTTATTGTAATGTTATTTGAACGTGCATTACAATAAAAGGCGTTCAGTTCTTTTCTTAATAAACAAAATGTGATATTAGACTTTTTTTTAAATAAATCTATAAATGTATATGGACGTATATATATATATATATAAATGAATATATACATATATAATTTGGATGGGCTCACGCTCCTAAATGCTGCAGTAATACTCTTACACTGTGTGACGGTGATTGTTATCTGTCTGTTACCTATCCTCAGGGTCTTATATAAAACCATAAACCTATTATGACATGTTACATGATCGTCTGTTGACTTGAGTCTTTATCAGTATGTACAGCAAAAAAAAAAATGAAATAAAAGACTTGTTCCCTTTACTTCACCAACCAGTGGGTCAACATTTCCAAATTGCTGTCAACCAGTTTCAACCAACATATATTATAAATTAATTTGAAACTTTTAAATGTTTCACTTTGTGTATAGAATAATGTTTTTTTATCTATTAAAACGTTTTAGTTGACTTGTGTTTATCTAGCTCTCTGTGGCTTGATCTACATCACATGACCATCTTTGTTGTAATTTAATAAACATGGCTGCCTCATCGCTCCATTTATATATAAGTGTGAACATGCCATGTGATTGTTCTTCGTGCTACATAAAATAGCCTCGAAATGCTTTGTGAGTAATGCATATAACTACTGACATGGCATGAGTCCCTGTTAAGACTTTAGAAATTGTACAGGTATATTTTTCTCACAAATATGTATTTTTGAAGTAAACTATGAGTCATGGATGACACATGTATTCATTCTTTATTGAAGATCAAACTGCAGCAGCCTGTGGAATACCATTTTGATGATGTTGAGTGCCTTTTTTATACATGCAGTAAATATACTGCAATAAACTACAGGCTTTTAAAATAAATGTATACGATAACAGAAAATAGAATAGGGCTTCATGTCTGACAGCAGAAACAGAGGCAAGTTCATCATGTGCTCCATAAGATTAAAAGACTGCTTCAGTCGAAGGTTTACATCCCGTTTATATTTTTTGAGACACCCTCATTATTGTGTTGTAGCTAATTTGCATTTTTTTAATATCATTTTTGCCTTATGGTGGCGACAAATGAATGTTCAAAGAGTAACCTAGAAGAGGTTCATCATTTATTGCCATAGACAGAGCATGGAATATTATATTAGGCATTTGTGGAAGTGGGGTGTGGGGAGGGCGCCTTCTGCTGGTGGAGAGATGGCAGTGACTCAGCTGGAGATCAGACAGCTGATCAGTCACACAATAAAAGCATGGGTTCGGAGGGTGACTTTAAAATGTACTCTCTTATAATTATTAGTTAACTGTAAAAATATATATAACCATATCAAAATATAAAAGTAATGTTACCTGATACATTTCTGGTAACTTTGGATTACTTAAATATCAAATGCAATACAAATAAATACAGGAGAAAATAGATCAAGATGTTTTTTACTTAAGTGTATTATGTAAGACAACAGAAAAATGTAACCTTACAAATGAAGAAACCAAGATATTTAGGGTAAAAAATGCTTTTTGGGGTTTCCCTTTCCTGTAGTGTGTTCTATGGGTTTTTGTAAATGGTCTGCAAAGACTAAAATCCCTGTGTTCCCTCCAGAGGGAGTTTCTCTCCTACACACTGCCTGAAACGCCTCCATTGGACCCCCTTGCTTACTTCCGTAACATAGTGACATCAGGGGGCGGGACATCTCTAATCAGAGGGTTATGTTGGAAGCTGGGGTGAAATGATTTAAAAAACCTTTGTATTTCATAAATGTTACTCAGATTGTAGACAGTCCTACTCGCCCTAATATTAAGTCCCCTAGTAAATCCTCCTTAATTGATCTAATTTTAACTAATGTTCCCCATAAATATTTATACTCACATATTTTGCAAATGATGTGAGTGACCACTGTGTTGTAGCCACAATCTAGGGCCAAAAGGGCGGGTGGAGGGGGTCTGGAGGACGGGTTTGGGCTGACAGCCCAGGGGCACAGCGGAGGACCCGGAAGGGGTCTCGGGCGGACGGCCCGGGGGCAAGGCAGAGTTAAAAAAGGGGCGAAGGCCACAGCGGGCGAACTCAGGGGGGCGGGCATGAGGGCGAAGGCTGCGGCTGGAGTTTAGCTGTTACATCTCCTTGTTACATATCCTTGTTCTATCTTGTCCTTTCTCTTTTGAGCGCTGCTCTTGTGCTTTGGTTTGCTGGACATTATAAATGCAAGCTATTACATTTTTTATAATCCTGCCGAACAGTACAGTACAGGTTGATTAAACCGTTCGCTCGTCACGCAAGGTATCACATGACATGAAAGGAAGCAAGGTCATTGGACAGACAAATTAATGTAGGTTGATTGGTTACTTTGAAGACTGCGTGAACCAGTCAATGCCATTGACCCAAAAAAAAAAAGTAAAACAAAAACAATATATAGGAAATATTTGTTTTTGCATGGCCCCTGGCTGGCTCTGAGCCACTGCCGTGATGTACTGTGTAGGTCCCTCCCTGAAGGAGGCTGTTGTTAAATTACAGGCTGTTTTTAACATTATTCAGACTCAGCTCTCTGAACTAAAGCTTCTTTTAAATGTTGATAAAACCAAGGTAATGCTATTTCCAAAAGCGAAAAAGACACTAGAGACCGCTTTGGATATTGTAACTACGCAAGGACAAGTACTTGAAATTGTTGCCTGTTACAAATACCTTGGTATCTGGCTTGATGATTGTCTCACTTTTAAACTTCATGTCAATAACCTGCTTAAAAAGCTGAGGGTTAGGCTAGGTTTCTTCTACAGGAACAAGTCCTGTTTCTCGCTTGAGGCCAGGAAAAGGCTAGTCACTGTGACCTTTTTACCTGTGCTGGACTATGGTGATTTGATGTATATGAATGCACCTGCCAATTGCCTGGTCAAGTTAGATGCTGCGTATCACAGTGCACTAAGATTTGTAACTAATTATAAAGCACTTAGCTACTCATCACTGTACCCTATATGTGTTGTGCACCGTCAAAAGTGCTAAGTCAATCATGTTTCATGTTGTTATTCTTGTATTGTCTTTCACTTCCTGTTTTGTTTTGTCTCATTCTAGGTTCCTTGACTCCCTTCCCTAGGGTGTTCTCTCGCGTTCATCAGCACCAGCCCCGCCCCTGATTGTTTTGACCTGTGCCCAGTTATCTCCTGTTTATATTCCCGTTTCCCTTTGTGTGTTGTCAATTCGTCTTGTCCTGTCCTCATGCCAGAACTCTGCTCTTCAGCGTTTGCTTCTTTGATTCAAAGCCTATTATTTGCTCCTGAAACTTAAGTTTAGTTCCTCATGTTGTGAGTGATTTTCTTTTGTTACCTTTGTGCAAATAAAGTATATCAATTATACTTTACCTCTGGCTCCCGGGTCGTGAGTCCTTATCCTTGTGTATCCGAGTTCGTAACAGTATGCCAGGGTAGGTTTGCCTTCACTTACTGTTCGGAGAATCACTCATTGGTACATGTTCATATATAAAGCCATGTTGGGTAAACTCCCATCATATATCTGTTCTCTGATCACACAGAGTTGCAGGTAGCTATTGCCTGAGATCACATGATGTGGTCTTGCTACATGTGCCAAGTGCAAGGACTGACTTAGGTACGAATGCTTTTATGTGCGCAGCTCCTCTTGCTTGGAACAGTCTTCAAAAATAATTGAAAATGAGCTATTTGTTTCCACTGCCTGTTTTTAAAGCTCGGATAGGTGAAATGCTCTTTGATACTGTTGGTACTTGTAAATGTCGATGGTATGTAAATATGATGTATGATCTCCTTTATTGTTTTATGTTGTTTCATGTGTAACCTACTCGCTGCAGGTCTCCCTTGAAAAAGAGATCAATGATCTCAATGGGCCCTACCTGGTTAAATAAAGGTTTGAAATTCAAATGAACCTGAGCAATACCAGTTAATGGCAATTACCTGCATCACTGCACCACTATATACCATATACAAGTCATTAAGAAGCCAACAAGAAAAGGCCTGAGTCCAGACATCAAAATCAGCTACTTTTACTCGGGTTAAGAGGCTAAACAGGAAGCATGGTACAACAAGATCTCACAGACAGAAGACTCAGCGCTGCAGAGAGGTGTAGCATGTATCTGTGAAGGTCTGCGAGAAATGTAAGATGCTCATGAGCCACCATCGAGGGAAAGTATCCAGCACCTTACTGAATACATGACAGGATTTCAAAAACCTTTACCATTATCTGGAAGCGCTTAGATTTTGACTGAAGACTAAAGCTGGACTCAAATCCTTTGTCACAGTGGAACTAACATTAACAAATCTGACAAAGAAATAACCTAACAAGCGACAACAGTTGTATGGCCGAAGCCCATTTGTAAATTCAATCAGTTGATACTTTAAACAAATATATACAGGACAGAGTTAATGAACAAACAATAAAGCATTGGTGGATACACAAATAAAGCATTGTAAAAAGAGTATTTTTCTTAATGTTTTCATAGTGTTGTTGTGCGGAAGTGTGCTTTGTTTCATGGCAGTGATCAAGGCTCATTGCCACATGGTTCCACATTTTGTAATCCATACAGATTTCAATGTTTTGCCCAATTAGACTAAGCCATCTCACCCTGAGCTACGGTGGCCAAAAGGTTAAAACGCATTCCAACGGCCCAAAACATTTCCATCAGGAGGAATGCGCTTTAAAAAAGTTTCAAATATAAAAACACAAATGTGCCAAAACACATGCAAATATAGAAACATCTTTAACTACTTGACAACACGTGCACATCTTTTCGATAACATTCACAAAACATATGCAACGTTACAGTAAGTGAAAGCACAAACAAACAAAAATGTTGCCAATAAAAAACTAAAATGTAAGTTTTATCAGCTTATCTTTAACAATGTGATCGCATGACTCCTTCTGATATTATTGCACATCTGCTGTAAGCTAGCTAGCTAAGGTAGCTAATCGAGTCATTACAAATATACTGACAATCACTTACAGGTATGGCAAAGACTAACTGCTACAGTGACAGTTGGCCAACTTTATAATCCTGAACGTCACCTAGCGCTCCGGCCCCACTGCGGTCCAACTGCGCCCCCTGGTGTCCGTTGTGTTTCGGCCTTCTTGCAGCTTTTTTATATTTGCAGCGTTTCGTTCATGCAGCACTTTTAGTAAACCCAGCTCATGTTTCCTCAAGGTGGTGAATGTTTTTCTAAATGCTGCACATGTGTTGTCAAGTTGTTGATGGTTCTTTATTTGCATGTAAAATGAAATACATTTGTGTTTTTTTATTTGCATCATTTTTTTATTTTCAAACTGCAGCGTGTTTCCCCTCCTGTTTGGGCCATAGAAACACGTTTGGCTCTGTCGGCCCCGTACCGAGCAGAATGTTTAACATCGTGAATAGAACCCCTGTGTACCTGATAGGACATTTGGTTATGAAGTAGCACATCATTAGTGCTTTGTAACTGAAATACATTTTTTCATTCATCTACAGCATAGTTAACAAATATTTGTATGACCGGCTTTAACACAGTGGCTGTGTATCTGATTGTCACAGGGACGATGATGTAATCCAATTCAAAATATAAACTTTGAAAATGAATATAAAATATAACATTTGAAAATGAATGCACCAACATTAAAATGGCAGACTCAGAGGTGAAGAAAGACAGACACACTGCTCTAGAGGTACTGGCTGCAACACACTAAGCATCGCTCTACAACTTTGTAAATTGTCGGTGGATTAGTCACACTTCTGAAACCCACACACTTTTATATAGAAAGACTTCTCGCTTTCTCATTTCTCGATCTCATTAAAATACTCAGAGAAGCCTGAGTACGGAGCGAAGTCCCCAGGATCTGAAGAGGAGGACAGATATTACTGTTACACTCAGGAAACAATGCAGACAGTATTACTTTAGCCCTAACACATTTAAAATACCCATCCCCTGTGAAATAATACTTCTGTTACTCACCTTCACATTGTCCTCTTTTAAAGGAGATGTCATCAATAGCAATATCACTTCGTAGTGATGGGCCTCGGATGGCTTCAAATATGATCTGAAAGAGACACAAACGATGTGACTATATATGATGTACATATGTCTAATATGGATCAATTATATCCATTTTCCAAATTGTATTGTTTTATATATATATATATATATAATAATTGTATTTACAGATTACAGAAACATATATTAATCTCAAATTCTAATATTGACTTTTTGAGTTCAGTTAAAGGTCCCATGTCATGGCCATTTCTACTGATCATAATTCCATTGTTGAGGTCTACTAAAATAAATGTATATTGTGCAATTTTCCAAACTCACATTGGTTTCTCATACAGCATCTCTGTAAAGTATGTGTACTCAGTCACCGGTGTTCACTCTCTGTCCTAAACGGCTTGTTGGAGCTCCTGCCCCCCCTCCCTGTGAGCCCAGTGTGCTCCGATTGGTCGAGAAGCTGACAGGCTCGTTGCTGCTCGCACACACACAGACACACACACTGCTGCAGGAGCAGACAGGCTTGGTGATAAAGCTAGAACAAGCCAAACTCATCCTGAGCACACACAAACACTCACAGCCGAAGTAAAAACAATAAGTGTGGCTTGATATTGAGTAAGAAAAAGGTTTATAACGCTGTGAGCATGGGTCTGCGGAGAGCATTTCTCCGCGATCCCAACTTAGTAGCCCGAAAAAAGTTTACCCATTTAAGCAGTCGTGATACCTTGTTTGTTTTAAACATCATAAATACACAAACAACAATGAATACTTACAGGTTGTGTACCTGAATCTCCCGCTGGTCCAAACAAAGTGGGAACAGCATCGTTCTTCAGTGCCCTACGCTGTACATATCCGGCATGAATCGCTGAAAGTTTTGGGAAGCTTTGTTTCGTGAAAGGCTAGCAGAGGGTGCGGCCATAGCTCTGGGCGTGGCTACTGGAAGTAAATGAGAAATCTCCAACGAGACGTTTTGGGGAGGTATTTTCTGTGTTAGAGTTTTACTCGCTACAAAGTGTACTTTGAGGGTTTTTGACTCTGCAGACCGTTTACATGCATTAAAACCTTCATAACACACAAGGGGACGGGTAATAACCAGAAAAGCATGACATGGGACCTTTAACCAAAATATACAATATATTGTATATTCTTTAAAACTGTTGATGGTTACATGTAATTGTTTTGTGATCTGTATGCACTTGATGACATTTGTTTTCTTTCTCTTCTCATTTTCTGGAACAGTTATATTATTTGCAGTATATGCAGTCCTAATACCAGACACACCCTTTCTGTCATTTCTAAATTTGACTATACAAAATAAAAAAGGTTTAATGCACCAGTACTTAAAACAGGTTGGAACAGACCTGCATGTTTCTTGCTGTTCAGAGTTAGTTTTCTCATGGTTTTATTGCTTTATTGTATGTTGCTTTGGATAAAAGTATCAACTTAAAGTAATGTAATGTACTTGTTGTGCCATGCAGCCTGCATTAGTTAGATTCATTTAGTGAGCTGAGAGACGAGGGAGATCTACTCTGTTGTGTATTATTTATTTTTGGCGTTTTCTCCCTCTCCTTGGCATTAGCCCGTGGGACGTACCTGGTGTCGGACGTCACACTGGTAGTCCACCATCACCCTCATCCAGCTGACGCTCTGCTCCCCCCGGCGTCTCCACAGCAACGCGTCCTGCTCTCTGTCGCTGCGGCGCAGGAGCATGCTCAGTATGCCGGAGCCAGACCCGTGCATGTGGTAGAAGAGGATCAAACACTGAGGGGACGAGGACCCCCGCAGGTCAGAGGTCAGCAGTCGAGCTTTGTGACCCGGACGCATCAGTGACGCCTCGATGTACATGAAGTAACCTGGGTGAGGCATAATGAAACATTTATGGGATGTTTTCTCAGTGGAGACGTGTTATTTCAGCCGTAAAAATACAATACACAAAGAATACTGTGTAAATTAGAAAACACTGGTATTATCATCCAAAAGCCAAAACTGTAGAAATAATGTGAATACATGATGTCGACGTCTCATCTGAGATGAACATCTTTAGGAGTGGAATGATACATGAATCCTTTCACATCACACATGACCTCTGAATGAATGAACAAAGCAATGGAAGAGGAAATGACTCACCCACCCCAGTGGTGTGGTCTCCTCTGGGTCCTGTATAAGAGGTGGGGGTGTGTCCTCGCACTCGCAGCCAGTCGGCTTTGTCTCCTTTCTTATCCTGTATGTAGCCACAGACTCCACTCTCAAAGTCACACTGGCCCGGGAGGAAGCCTGCGGAGCAAACACACACCGTCAATGCAGAAGGTGTGCATCAGTGCAGTGTGTGCTACAGTTTACTAAAACTCCAGGATCATTCTGGGATGGGAGCTAAGCTAACTAGTTAAGATTCAAGGCTGTTCCACTACCCAGCCTGCTCCTGGCTGCACTGAAAAAACTGAAACGTTAACTTTAATTAAATTTATTATGTCAACAAATTTCACATAACTGTATTAGGTTAGGTGAAAGCAATAATATTAAGTTTAAATCAAAAATATTAGCTTCAACTTAATATTAAAGTCAACTTTTCAGTTATTTCAGTGTGATCTACAGTACCTGGTTGACTCAGGCCAACCCAGCAATGTCTGTTTCGTCAACGGCCCCTAACCTGAAAGAGAGACAACGCAGCACCAGGGACCCTGGCCTAGTAAATATATATACATTTGTAAATTGAACTGGGTCTCAAATAATGTGTAGCGTGACAACCGGCCATGAATAAAGATAAATAATAAAATATTGAAATAAATACAATATAACACAATAAGCTTTGAAGAATATGGTGCCCCTGTATAGTAGGGTTTGTACCTGCTGTCATCTGACAGTCCCCCAAGCTGACAGTGATGTCATCAATGGCTGCCAAGCCACACTCCCAGAAGTTCTTACATATGCTGACAAACACCACCTGGGAAACAGAAAGGTTTGAATACTGACCGCTATCATCCATCCATCCAACATCCATCCATCCATCCATCCATCCATCCATCCATCCATCCATCCATCCATCCATCCATCCATCCATCCATCCATCCATCCATCCATCCATCCATCCATCCATCCATCCATCCATCCATCCATCCATCCATCCGTATGTCTGTACGACTATTCATAATTCGTCAGACTTTCAATAATCCATCCATCATCCAACCACATTTCCATCATCTATCCATAGGTCTGTCCATCATCCATCCATCTAACCTTTCGTATGTCTCTAGGCCTGGTCATCATCCATCCATCCCTTCATCAATAAGACGTTTGTAAATCATCCATCCATCAACCTGTGTTTTCATTCTTCCATTCCATCCTTCCCAATCAAAAGCATTAACGTCCACATAAATCACCCATCATAGTGACCCATGTTTTATACCTTGGAAAGCATTGGCTTCATGTAAGTGATCTCCACCTCAGTCCATACATCCCTGGATGTGTGAGTCAGGCTCCAGACCTTCTCCTGGGCCACATTGTTCTCATCATAAATATAAAGGGCCAGAGCATTGTCTACTTTCCTAAATCCATGAAGCAGGTAGTAGAACCTCAGGCAGTACTTGTGGTTCCCTGGTAAAAGGGGACCATGAAGTCGACCCACATAACCCGGCGTCAAAGAGAAATGAGTGTTAACCAGGAGGAAACAGCCTAGAGAAAATGAGACATAGAACACAATTTCAAAAACTCACACCGTCATTCAAAACTGTGACCTTTTTTTACTACTTCTATGATTGTCTTTCCAACTAATACTAACCCCACTCACTACAATATACATTTAATATACTGCTTAGCTAAATACTTGATTCTGATTGGTCAATTTGGACATTCCAGTGGTAGTTAATTCTAGCCAGATTGCTGATGAAGAGAACAGACTGTTGCTGAAGAGGATATAGAGACTATGTGCATTCATATCATTCCCTCACTAAAATACCATGAAATACTTGTTGAACAAATATTTATATATTTGTGGTGAGCATGAAACTTTGGATTCATGATTACTAAACTGTCCCCAGTAAAGTAAAGAAAAAGAGAACAGGAGAAAGGAAAGTGAAGCGGATATAAGACGCTGGACGTCAGAGAAATCAACAGAAGAAGACAGACAGGAAGTAAACACTAAAGGGAACAAGGTATGGGCTCTGGCACTGTTTTAAGACTGGTTAATGGAAAATAAAATATAAACAGATTTAGACAGTAACAGAAAACCTCGATCGGTGCTGCAGTCATTTTAAGTTGTGTTGCTGTCGCTGCAGTTCCAGCAGTTGGTACAAACGACCTTTAACAGAGTGATTACACGCTGTAGCAACTTAGTGTGTGGACGGAGAAATATATTTCTTTAAATTGTTGGTTATCATAACAGGGTAAAAACACCACTTCCATGTTAAAACAAACACAAAGGGCAGCAGGGAAGTAAATATAACCATGAGTGTAATTTATGGTAGGGGGACTTAGAAATGTCCTATTGTTTTCTGATAAGTTAAAATGTCCTCACCGCTGTATGCAATATCTATACATTATCTAGATGCTATACTTATTGCTCTAGGTATGAATTTTTATTATTTATTTCAATGTTTCAGAACCATATAGTGCGGAGTAAAAATGGCAATAAAAAACAAAAAAATCCACCACATTATTTTCAGAAAGTTTACTGTAGGCCTTATATTTTTGGAAACAGATATGATAATGACAAAGTAAATGTTCATGTGCAGAATAAATCTAAAAACGTTCATCTTGTCAAACAGCAGACATCCGTGAATTGTGTGTGTGTTCGTGTAGGCATGTGCATTATGTTGCATGTGTGTGTGTGTGTGTGTGTGTGTGTGTGTGTGTGTGTGTGTGTGTGTGTGTGTGTGTGTTAGGGCTGCACGATTTTGGGGAAATAATCTAATTGCGATTTTTCTGACAGATATTGCGATTCGATTTGCGATTTTGTTTTTAAGCGACCCAACGGAAGTTTATTGTAAAATGTGGCCATATCTCCGGCTAGGAAGGTCGTATCAACGTGCTCCCGTCTCTAGCACCCCGCAGCCCGAGCTACGAGTGAAAGAACTAAACTTACATGAAACTTCCGTTGGGTTGCTTTAAAGTCAAGCTTCAGTTTAAGATTCACCCTGTAATAGAAACATGTGATGGAGCATTACTAACCTGACTCAGATGCTTTGTTTCACCAAACCATCTAAAGCTCCATTGGAAGCCATTTGGAAAAGTATTTCAAAAATACTTGGCAGGTGATTGGATCAATCTTTCTATCACCTACTATCATGGGCCACTTCTGATTGGTTAACAATGGTTGGTACATGTGGAGCACAGCACTTCTGATTGGTGTGGATGACTGACACACAAGAAAAACAAAAACAAATCGCAGGCTTTGCGATTTGATAATTGCATAATTTCAAATCGCGATTTCGAATTAAAATTGATTAATCGTTCAGCCCTAGTGTGTGTGTGTGTGTGTGTGTGTGTGTGTGTGTGTGTGAGTGTGTGTGTGTGTGTGTGTGTGTGTGTGTGTGTGTGTGTCTGTGTGTGTGTGTGGGGGGGGGTGAGACTCACCTACTCCTGTGGTGTGGTCTCCTATTCTGTAGGCGTTAGGCTTCACTGACACTCGGCTCCACTCCTTACTGTCTGTTTTCTCCTGATGGTACAGACACAGCCCGTCCTCAAAGTCACAGTTGGCTATAGAGGGGTCAAAGTTCGGCTCTGGAATAAAAAACACAGCATCACAGTGAGCCCCTCCTCAGATGTGAACAGTGTGCATCGTTCAACTAAAGGGGGAACTGGGGGAGGGGGTTAGGATGCTGGAATAAAAGACTAGCAGCTTAAAGTCTCTGCGTGAGAACCATTGCTGGTTGTAAAATTATTATTTGCAGGAAACATCACTGCTGGATTTATATGATAAGTGACTAATTACCCATGAGTGACTCTCAGCCCATTGCTCCCTCTAAAGCCCCTGTCACACTGTCCCGAAATTGACACCCGATGGACACACGAATATGGAATTGTGAATTTCGCACGAAGATGGCCCCGAACCACACACGAAGGCAACATTTACATTACATTTAAGACATACAACTGCAATGAAAGTACCAAAAACAATTATGTTACAGTACTATGATACTGTACTGATATCTTCAGACTTTGTTCTTTACTTTATCCGTCGTTATATGTAGAAAATATTACGTTTTCTCCGTAATGTTGTTTCCATAACAACAACAACTTCCTGTCAACTGTCCTTCAAAATAATATATTATATCCTTTTTAGTTTCACAGAACACAAATTGGGTTATTTACATAATATATTTACATGATTTTGTTGTGCAATAAAACAACCCGATGGACACACGATAAAGGAAATGTTCAAATTCGGCTCTGATCGTAGCAACATCGGGCCATTCGTGAGGGCATCTTAAGCCTTCGTATGACCGCCAGTGGAGTTTCTCAGGCTCCGGCAGCAACTTCGTGAGCGGTGGCAAAATCTTTGGCATGCCAAAAAATTGCCGAAGGACCTTGCGAAGGTTCATTTTCGTGTTGAATTCGTGTGTCAATTTTGCCCTTCGTAAGGCCATCGTGAGGGCATCTTGTTATCATCGGTGCCATCGGGCATTCGCCCCGATCAGAGTGAGGGTGAATGCACCGATGATAACACGAAGATGACACGATTTGACAAGATGACCTCACGAGTGCCTTACGAAGTTGCCGCTCATGAAGTTGCTGCCGGAGCCTGAGAAACTCCACCGGCGGTCATACGATGGCTTAAGATGCCCTCACGAATGGCCCGATGTTGCTACGATCACAGCCGAATTTCAACATTTCCTTTATCGTGTGTCCATCGGGTGTCAATTTCGTGACAGTGTGACAGGGGCTTTATAGTCAACCACCCTCAAATAAAAATAATCATTAACTATCATTTATTAGACTGCATATTGAAGGCCGACCATGTAAAAAAGTACTTTTCTTGTTTCATAAATAAATTATCACTTTTTAAAAACAAGCACATTGTTTTAACTTTATTTGAATAAAACTGTTGTTTAATTTACAACGGCAGTAATACGTTTATAATATATGGTAAACATTTAATGTGGGAAATCCTGAGTGAAAAGAACAATATATATATATATATATATATATATATTTTCATATAATTTGTAAAATTGTTACAGAAGATAAGTTTGAGGCAAAATGCCTTGCCGGACTTTGCCAGCCATAATTCTCTGGGAGTGGAAGATTAGTTAAAGGGGCCCTAATATGCTCATTTTCAGGTTCATATTTGTATTTTGTGCCTCTACTGTGACGTTGCAATGTTTCAATGTTCAAAAAGCTGTTTAGAGGGTGAAAAGTGTTGCAGTATTAGAAAAATAAAGAGCTTTTTGAAAATTAAAGCATGGAAACATGTTACAGTAGAGACACTACACTGCAGAAAAAGGCCCCTTTAACATTGCAGCCTCTAGTGACCACAAGTGAGATTTCACTTTCAGTGCGAAACAGAACAGTCTGATTGTTGTTAACCACCCCACCCTATAATCACCTGTGTCAGTGTGGCAGAATTCAGGAGAAAAGGAGATGTCATCTATTGCCACGTATCCGCCTCTGGCACTGTTAAAAGCCACCTCAAATACCACCTGGTAACACACACAGACATAACCAGCAACTGTTAACAGATGTGTGATGAGTAATGTGTGACTTCAACTCGAAGTCATCATTTTTCCTGTCTGAGTCTGAGAGAACATGCTCGGTGAAACGTTATGAACATGAAGTGATAGATAAGACAGCTGTAGAGGCCACACAGTGACCTCAGTGTAGCATCAATTCAGGAACATGAGTGAGTGGAGTGCTGCTTGATGGAAAAGGTCTGTACGACTCTTGGCTGGATCGGAAAGAGGAGCTGACCCAGTTAGTAAAGTTATGCAAGCTTCTTTCCACAGCAACAGCAGCCTGTGGGAGGGATTCTGGCTGAAAGCACAAGCAAAGGAAACCATAAAAGTGCAGTGGAAAGGAGGAGTCTGTCTGTCTGTCTGTCTGTCTGTCTGTGTGTGTGTGTGTGTGTCCACTCAGATGCACACAACACAGGTATGAGACAGAGAAGTACCAAATTAGTTTTCTTTTCGATGATATATAAGGAGAAATATGATCTTTCTAAGATAAAAAAGAAATGTAATAATGGGGAATAAGAGACTGACAGTAATATTTGCCAGTACAGCAGCATGTCTGACACGAACACTGGACATGGAAAGAGTTTAAATAGGATAATTACAAAGGAAACAAGTCAGCAGAAACACCTTTCCCATATATTTACCTCTAAAAAAAATTAACAGGAGAAGAAGCCTCAGTGTCGACCTTTAAACTGAACCCTTCCAAGTATTCAATTTAAATATATCCGTTTTCCTAGCATGATATTTCTTAGCTTCACGTGAAACTCGGTGGATAACAAATATTATGTATGGCTTCAAAGCAGTCCACTAGTTTTCAGTGCTCCTATCCTGAGGCTGGGGAGTAGAATCCGGGCAGGCCGAGTCCCAAGCCTCCTTTGTGGAGGCGGCTGCTGGGAGTTGTGGTCAAAAGGTCTTCAGAGCCTGTCATGGAGGAAAACTCGCTGTTGGACTTGGGTGAAGAAGGATGCCGGCACACTGTAAGTGTTTTGGGCTTGGTTGGCCCAGGACTCTATAAAGCAGGGGTTCCCAAACTTTTCAGCCCGCGACCCCCAAAAAAACAGTGCCAGACCCCTGTCAACCCCTGGGGGGTGCTACATTTTGGGGAATATCTCCGCAATGGAGCTCAGGTTAAAGTGGACCTTTCATGCTATATTTGACAAATATATTGTAGGGCCATACCTATATTAAAGTATATACATATATTATATATCATGCATTTTAGCCATGCCTCATTTCGCTCTATTTGCTCTTTCCAGCCCTTTGCAGGGGCTGATTCTGTGACGTAGCTTTAATGCAAATCAGCTGCAGCTGAACACGGAGAGGGGAGCGTGCTCTGAGATCAGATGCTGGGCTGTCAGAAGAGGGGGAGAAAAAGAGAGGCTCCGTCCTCCGTGTTTTATTCTTATATGATTATATAGTCATTATTCATTTGTTTTAAAGCTCAATAAATAACAAAGAAGACCTTTGACCGGCACTTTTCTAATTTTGTCCGGAAGATTTCAACTTTAACGGACATGTTAACTGAAACTCTGCCGCACTGTCCCCTTGTTCCTTGGAAGAGGCGGCGAGGTGGGTGTTTGTCATCTGCTGGTGGACTAACCGGAGAGAATTACAGCGAGGGAGGGATTGCATTGAATTACAGCAGCAGGAGCAAACGCTTGCCTCGGGGAGGGAGAAAAAGAGCCACGGCGGAGAATAAACAGAAGGGCAACCATGGAAACCATGCGCGGGAAGTCTTCTTCTTCGCTGCTTTTGTGGCAGACTACAGCGCCACTTACAGGCCTGGCATATGTACTACAGCGTCTCCAGCGCTTTCGAGCGGCAATGGCCGGCCGTGGCCCAACCTCTCATTCCCCTGATAGGTGGAGAGTTGCCCATATAGGCGGAGCACCCCTTTTCTGACGTCAGAAAAATGAACGTCTGTATCAGATCCGTTCCAGCCCCGTTTTTAGAGATTTGGGTATGGAGGAAAAGAGAGACGGTTGTGTTTTCTGACACTTGGTGAGTTCCCTGGAACACCGGGGACACATATTCATGAATAAAAGACGTACAAAAGTGCATTTTGCATGATAGGTCCCCTTTAAGTTTCACTTTTGATTGCATGATATAGCCCAGCGCAACACCTACCTCGGGCGATTTGTAATCTGTTCTTGAAAAACTGTGTTTTTTAGGATTTCAAGAAGCATATAGAACAATGGATGTATTTTATGAACATTTATCCATGCTGGAAGTAGATTTAGATGTTTTAGGAGTGAGATAGAGATTATTATGTAATATATGCATCCAATGGCATTGCATGAAGTCTGTTGATGATCAGAGGCTGTTGTTGGGGCTGCATAAACGTTTTTTAATTTTTGTTTTGTAGGCAGACCATGCCGGCCTCAGAGAGTTAAACTTGGGCCTGCGACCATAGTTTTACTGTATTTTGTTTTGAAAATCCACACCGGAGGTTTGTGTCGTACTACATTCGGTGTATTTTGTATATCTCTCAGTAGCCAACGATCTGTGAGTCTGTTGGCTCGGACATAAATTCCTTAATAAATGTAGTCTACAAGAGGTGTAAAACCTGAGAGCATTTTAAATCGCATTTGAACGAAATGCTTATAATCTGTAGTTGTATTTGTATTGTTGATTTATTGTGTGAACGAGGCGATATAGAGAAGGTTAAACTGTCATTATTAAGCTCTTATGTGCTGTTGGAGTGGTAAGCAGGCCTATTGGTTTTGGATATGTGTGGAGTCAGGTGGTCCGTGAGTGTTTTTTTATTGGTTAAGTGTCCTTGGTATGAAAACGTTTGAGAAACACTGCGCTAGTGGATTGTCAACGGGGGGAGCCTTGCTGCGGGGAAATTATACAGATGGCTAGTCCACCCCTGAAAAATGTCTATGCACACGTTATTATTAATAATAATAAAAAATTCAATTGATTAAAAGAAATTGATAAAAAAAGGAAATTAATTTGTTTTAATTTTCCATTTTTATTTTGTAATCATCTTGCAACCCCCACTCGATCCAAGGAAGATCCGAGTATTTCTGTACCCAAGAGGCAGGTCATTTTGGCTTTATGCGCCACTGAGCAACCTTCGTAGGAATGAACGGGGTCTCGCCTCGAACGCTGTATCCACTGTATCCTCCCATATTTATGGGAGGAGGATGAGATCCCGTCTTTAAGTGCCTAGTTTCTATTGACAACAACACTTCTCCTTCCAAAAACCATTGGTTGCTTTGTGACAGTTTGTTGTGTATATGTTGATAAGAATGTTCTGATCTATAAGACACGGTTTTAAGTATAATGTATGGTTTGAAGTCTGTGAATGTGATACCTTCGGGATTTATGAATGAAACTGGTAGACTAGTAAATAAAATGGACTCAGACGATGTAATACAAGTTGGATGGATTTAGAGTAGAGACAGTTAAGGAAATAAAAACATAGGGGATGCTTATCTTATCTTTAAAAGCATCAGGCAAATACATAATATCATCTTGCTTGCACATTGTAGTGAGGTCTTCTTAGCATTCAAAGAAGACCCACATATCCTCATATGGAGCTGAACTTCTCTTGATCATTGTAAATGCTAGCTCCAGCACTGACCTCCAGGGGGTGGGGGGCCTTGATATCCACACTGACCAGAGTCCAGCCAGCTGTAGCAAACACCTCGGGCCTCCACATGTCCTCGTAGTGTCCCAGCTGGTCTCTGGTGAACAGTGAGAAGATGTTCCCCCTCTCCTGGTCTCTGTTGTAGTAGAAGGACAGGCAGCCGGCCAGGGGCACCGTGGTCATGGGGGAGCTCAGCTTGGCTACTTCCTGGAAGTGCTTGGCATACACAGAGTCCACATACATGTAGTGTCCTGGAGCAGGGGAGAGAGAGATGAGCTGAGGGACACAGTTATGGGAGGTTCATTTACAGGACGTGTGTGTTGTTACGCTTTGTGTGTTGTAACGCTGACTCATGTATACAGGTATTCATACTCATGAATGCAATGAGCATGAGGTGGTGCAGGAATGAGTCTGAACCCCAGAAATGAATGAACATTAACATTAATTAACATGAATTAACCTCTACTTAAAGTAGGGCTGTACCCGAATATCCGAATATTCGATCGTTGGAGTACTATTCGGGTTTCAATTTTGTTATTCGGATATTCTTTTTTTTCTTTTTTTCCCGAATGTATTGAAAACTCCAATATCAACATAAGAGCTTGTGCTTCTTCGGGGGGTGCTAACACTTAACCATACACTTTATCGTTTACTTTCTCCGTCTTTATATGTAGATATTACTTTTTCTCCGTTAATCTCCGTCACGTTGTTACCATAGCAACAACAACTTCCTGTCAACAGCACTAACTCTCCTTAAAAATAAAAGCATGTCCATACAAAATAGGAAGCCAAGCCAAATTACACTTAAGACATATACAACTGCAACGAAAGTAACACAATGCAATATCCTTTTCAATTTCAAAGAACACAAATTGGGTTGTTTACATTAACAAATAACTATAAAACAACAATACTGTAGAATAACATAATGAATGCCGTGAATTAACCGAAATACACGTGTTGAAGCGGTTCGAATATTCGAATATTCGCTGCTGATTACTACCGAATATCCGGAGCCCGAAAAATGGTATTCGGGACAGCCCTAACTTGAAGTGGATAGATTATGGATGAGTTTTTGGTTTGATTCCCTAAATAAGGTCTGAAATAAACACACATTTCCAAGATGTTCATGTTCTGTTCTACGAGGGTACTGCAGGTGGTCCGTGGAAAAAAGCTAAATAAAATCCACTTTTTATTATCAAGGATTTTCGGGAACCACCTCATATGTGACTTGTCGCATTGACTCGAAGAAACATTTTGAGTTGTATACACTGTTGGAAAGAGGAGATTCCTAGCTTTCTAATGATATCAGGCATTGGGGTAGTGGTCGTTGAGCTCATCGGACATTTATGAGAGAAAATCTCTAATGTCCGAGTGCAAGTGAATGCACCACAAGACACGAGCCTTGTAACCCCTCCCCCGGCCCTGGCGCGAGCGTGGAAATATGATTGGCGGCAATTTCATTTGAACAGGACGGCGTAAAACGAGAAGCATCCGGACCCAAGTACTGTAGACGGAAGGAACGAGGTATTTGCGGTCTACAATGACAGAGAAGAGACTGTCAAGTTTGGCTGTACTCAGCATTGAATCAAAACGCACTAAAGCTTTGGATCTTAATCAGTTTGTGAGGCGTTTTGCTGAACAGAATGGTAATCGCCGCATCATAACAGTGATTGACAGCTGATAGGAATAATATGATTGTTAATATTATCATATTAATTCAGACAAACATCAATGAGACAGTTAATTAATGTACTTATTGCAGCAGACTGCATACATTTGGTACCCCTGGTCTAAGAGTGAAACTAACTAATTCAGTTATTGTTCAGTTAAAATTCATTAAATTATGTCATCTCTTATTAGGGGTGTAACGGTTCACAAACATTTCGGTTCGGTACGTACCTCGGTTTTTAGGTCATGGTTTGGTTCGGTACGTTTTCGGTACAGCAGAAAAAATTATCACAAAACATAAAATATATATATATTTTTTTTAATTATTATTAAACTGTGAATAATGTATTCACTCAAATAAATACAAAATATAATAAACATTACGGTGCAGCATTTCGATGAACTGAAATAATCTGTATTTGAACTTTACTGTACTAGTACTCACAAAACATAAACTATTAGTTTTGGGTTTTTAATTATTATTAAACTGTGAATATTCACTAAAATAAATACAACATATAATAAAATAAACATTAAGGTGCAGCATTTCGATGAACTGAAATAATCTGTATTTTGCACTTCAGTCTTTTTTCTTTTGGTACCGGTGATATTCACGTTCGGGTGATGCCTTTTCAAATGAGTGTGCAAGTTTGACATATTGCCAGCCGCGTAACCAATTTTAGTTGAACAATGCCGACAAACAGCTTTGGTTCGGTCCACCTGTCTTTGTCCGTCATCCTTGTACGTAACTGCGAAACCAAAATGTTCCCAAACCGGAGACTGAGCTCGATTTTCAAGCTCAACTTTATTTGCGTTCGCCATTTCGACAGTTCCTCAAATTACTGACTAAATTTGAACGCATCCCTGTGACCAGCTTTCATAGTATGCCTCTCGTGAGAGAGAGAGAGATAGATAGATAGATAGATAGATAGATAGATAGATAGATAGATAGATAGATAGATAGATAGATAGATAGATAGATAGATAGATAGATAGATAGATAGATAGATAGATAGAGAGAGAGAGAGAGAGAGAGAGAAGCAGCGCGTGCGCACTTGTGGCATTGTTTGGGATGACCTAATTAAAATACAGTCCGCCGTCCTCTTTGAGAAACATACACAACGCAGACAGACACCGGTCACACGTGCGACAAAAGTATCAGATAGGCTTCAATTTACTTTTGATTGTCTATAATTAACTATAAGAAAATATCGGCGTTTTAACACTACGTTTATATATGTACTTATTTTTACGGTTTGCATATGAGGTGGTCCGCGAAAATCCTTGATAACAAATAGTGGTCCGCATAAACAAAAAGATTGGGAACCCCTGCTCTATTCTAATCACTCTATAACTATGACCATGTTGTCGCCTTTAAACATATAATGCAGAGTCGGTTAACCTGGAATTTTTCATCCATACCAAATCAAAAAGCAGTTTATTTCATTGGCTAGCACAGCTCCCTGATTACAGATGCTGCCTTCACAACTATAAATCCATGTGAACTGACTGTCAAACTACAGAGCATCTATATGCATCTGGATCCAGATTGTTTTAAATAGGTACACCGTGAACTGTTAAAGGTGGGAATATAAGAGAGGATGTTGAACAGGACAGTGATCTGTATAAAGTCTAGACTAGAGGACTCAAGGATTCAAAGGCTTTATTTGGAATATGCACAATAGCTACAGCCTAGTTTTGGCAATGAATCTGACAGAAATTAAATCTAAAGCCTCATGCTCCCACAACAATGCAACATATTATATACCTAACATAGAAGTAAAATAAACAAATTGTGGAATAAAGTAGTGCAAAGACAAAATGATTTAAGTAGGTTGACTTAAGTCTAAGACAGTGAGTTGGCGGTGAATCTCCTTTGGAATTGAAGGCCTGCAGGTGCAGAAAGCAGTGAGTGGGCCAGCAGTCATACCTCAGTACAGTCCAGAATACTGCAGTAATAAGCAGTTGGGAGCCGCAGACGCAAACAGCTGACCACAGTAGTGACAAAAGGATGGCAGAATGTGTTTGGAATGTACAGATCATAGAAATGGACAGAAGTGGAATGTGTGGAAGTAATGGTTTGAAAAGTTTCTATGGATATTATTTATATTTTTAAACTGCAGTATATGCTCATGTGTTGCATTGCTGGTGAATAAGCTACTGCCTGAATATAATGAAAGGCAGGTTTTCCAATCAATAAAACCTCTGAGCAGAGGACACATTTGTCAAACGAAATATCTTGGTTTGTTTTTTCTTAAGGTGATATTGTTCCGTTGATTTACATAGTACACTTAAGTAAAACAAATCTTATAGATATGTATTTTCTCCTTTAATTAATTGCATTGTATTTGATATTGAGGTGTGTGTGTGTGTGTGTGTGTGTGTGTGTGTGTGTGTGTGTGTGTGTGTGTGTGTGTGTGTGTGTGTGTGTGTGTGTGTGTGTGTGTGTGTGTGTGTGTGTGTGCGTGTGTGTACCTCTCTGGTGATGGGTGCTGTGATTGACAGGCAGGTGGGACTCTGGCACTCTGGCCACGCTCCCCCCGACGTACCAGTTGACATTTGGGTTCCAGCTGTTGCTATATCCACACAGGTGGTGCTCCTCAAAATTACACTCTGAACAGTACAGACAACCATTACTCCTTCAAGATACATAAATACAGTGTCATATCAGACTTAACAACAAAGGTAAAAACATCAATGCTTAGAACACACTGACCTATACAGTAACCAGTGACAATGTGAATTTCAAAGATGGCCACGCTGTTCCCTGAGCCACGTTCAGGTCGACCTTCCAGTAGAACCTGTGGCAGAAAAAAAAAATCCAAACATAATATTCTTTCACCATAGGTTAAATTATATCATTATAAATAAGATCAGCATTGAATGACAACAAATCAAGTCCCATCACATAAGAACCATAGCAAATCATGTCACTGAAGTACTCAAAGAATTGCCGAATTAATGAATTGTGAAGAAGGTTGGATTTACCTTTGTACTTCACAATATGTATATTTAAGTACAGTGAGCAAATGTACTCCGTGACATTTTAGATTACATTACCTTTTTAACATTAAACAACATAAAGGTCATGTTTTTTAATCTATATTAATCTGTTGAAAAACTCAGACTATGTACGTTTTGAAATCCTTAGCGTTAGCTTAGCCGATCTCCATTCAGAAAACAAGCATTTTAAAAGGTTTTTCGCCTGCCGTCTGTCTGCAGACTTGTCAAAGCATTAATTAATGATTTTTACTAACCGGTATCAGTATGTTGTTACTTTGGCATCATTTTGAAACGTGTATTACAATTAAATCACGGTCAAATATGTTCATCTTGTTGTAGTTGTTGCCCCCTTGCCAGCGATTCTCTCTCTAGTTTAGCATACTCAGCCCGACTCAGCCTGGTTGTTCCTGGCCCTAGAAACACGATTTTATGGGGCCAGAAAAACTGTGAAATAGTACCCGCTAGCCGGTATTACGCCAAGTGGAAACGCAACCAAAAACGGGCCGTGCTGTAGTGGAAATGCGCCATAAGTACCAACATGATGTAGTTTTGTTTTCCTCACAGCATGGTTTTAAGTTATTACACTTGAGCCATTTATTTTGATTTCACAGTCTGTATATATTCACTTTAGGAATTGTTCTGGATGGAAGAGGTTAGCACTCTTGTTGACAATAAAGAAGCTAGTTACATTTAGAAAGACCCTGAGATGACATCACCATGCTTTTATAACACTTGGCCTCAAACTCACTCTGTGTTTTGGAGCATTAACTTTCTTTAAATTACAAAAAAGCAGGTGACTTTAGATGCAACTTGAATAATTCATACAGTAAAGTCATGTCAACACATGCATGTATTAACAACCATTTACAGTAAATAATTAAATTACAAATATTAAACAACCACTGTGAAAACACAGCTCATTAATGTGCGTGAAGTACTAAACATGTTTTATTGGTTGATTTAAATTTAAATATAAATCAAACCAAAAACACCTTCACTAGCTGTCGATGAACCCCTGAAACAATCACCATATCCAAAATCCTCCACAAGCCATTAAGAGGAAGCCAGGTCAAGCAATACTTTGCAAGATTTTCAGTATAAGTGGAACAAATATTGAATTTAATACAGGTGCACTCAACAGATGGGGTGAAGACAAACTACAACTTACCTGGTAGGGGGTGGTGCTGTTGGGTAGGTCCACACTAGCGATGAGCCAGCTGTCAGAGGCTTGGTTGGCAGTCCACATCCGGTAGTCAAAGTTATCCCCATCTGGTCTGAGGAAGAGCTGCAGGGACCCCCCCCCGGTGATCTGGTACACCAGCCTCACACAGCTCCAGTACTGATGGTCCAGAACCGGACTGACCAGGACCGCCTGCTGCTGCTCCTTCAGGATGGCGGAGTCCACGGTGATCACATGACCTGTGACCACAACACCAACATACATTACATTACATTTAGCTGAGGCTTTTATTCAAAGCGAATTCCAGAGGATTCAACCATGAAGACACATTAGCTCCTGAAAAAACTGAAACGTTCACTTTAATTAAATGCATTAGATTTCTCATAAGTGTATTAGGTTAGTTGAAATATTAAGTTGAACTCAATATAATTGCTTTCAACTAACCTGATACAGTTACCCGAAATGTGTTGACAATACATTTAATTAAAGTCAATATTTCAGGGTTTTTTAGTGTATGAATAAGCCAAAAAAAAAGTGCTACTGAATCTCCTTCATAGTAAGTCCAAACTGTCTTATTGGTACGTACAGAAGTGAGATATTTCTTTTATTGGCCAAGTTGCAGTTGCAATTTGCTGTTCTGATGTAAATGGGGAGCTTGTTCCTTAAAAAAAGGACCCAGCTGTATGTGGTGGGGCACCAACATGCAACAACTATTATAGTATGGAGCATATATATTATATTTATATATATCATTCTTCACTGTATCGTGTACTCTCTAGTTTAAGGCCACCCTAGAACCCTTCATCAAATGTTCTCAACTAAAACGTTTACTTACTGGGAACTTTTTTGTCTGGAGCATCCAACAGGGCACTTTAACTGCCGCTGTTTTTTTTCCCAAACAATGTGGCACCAACAAATCAGCTTGGCAGACTTGTTGTTGGATTCAAAACGATAGTTACGGCTGTAACTACGGTTCTATGAGTCCCGGATGACCGCCAGAGGCGGTGCTTTAAGCACTGGATATGTCCATCGCGCGCATGCGCAGCTCGAGTACCAATAACAACAAAGTCACCTGTGACCCACGTGACACCGGCTATATCAGCCGGTGTCGTCAGAGGATCTGTTCCCAGAATCTTCTCGCGAGCACACAAGAATTCTGAGTGACAGGGAACTCTGGCGGTCATCCGGGACTCATAGAACCGTAGTTACAGCCGTAACTATCGTTCTATTTCGAACGATAGTTCGCCAGAGGCGGTGCTTTAAGCACTGGATGACTTATACCAACAATGTCATGAAGAATCCAAGCCCTTGCTCACCACTGGAAACAGCGGAGCTCGGCAAAAGGACCACGCCCAAAGAATGGGGAGTGGCGACATTGACCTGATGACAACTGGAGAATGTGCCAGAAGACACCCACGACGCCGCGGCGTAGATGGTCTCCAGGGGCACCACCCTCAGGGCAGCCCAAGATGTTGAGATGCTCCTTGTAGAGTGGCATCTCAACCTGATGGCAGGGGGGCGGCCACTGGCCCCGTAAGCCTGTGAGATGGTATCGACAACCCAGTGGGGCAGCCACTGGTTAGAGGGCATAACCTCCCTTAGTGCCGCAAGGGCAAAATCAAGAGTTGCTCCTACTACCGTATACAGGCAGTAGCCTTGATATACGCCCTTTGGGCACCCCCAGGGCACAGCAACTTCGACGTGCCGTACTCCTGAATGTCAAAGCGTGCCAGCTGGGCAAGCTGATTGAAGTGGGTTTGTGGAAGGACCCCGGGCCGGAATGCCACATTTGCCCAAAGGGCAACGCCTGAGAGTCCCACCTCGGGCATGTATTGTTTATGGAGAGGACATGCAACTCCCCGACTCGCTTCCCTGAGGCTATGGCAAGCAGAAATGCTGCCTTCGTGGGTAGCCACCTAAGCCCCACCTGGGCCAGGGTCTCGAAGGGAGGAGATGATAGGGCATCCGGCAGCAGAGGCAGGTCCCAAGCCGGAGCCCTCGGGGGTGCTAGGGGGGATGCTGCCGTAAAGCCCCTCTCATAAAGAGGGACACCGACCTGTGGCACCCCGCCGTGGCGCCGTCGACCCGAACATGTCGGGCAGAAGTCGCAGCCACATAAATTCAGAGTGGAGTGAGAACGTCCACCATCTAGAAGGGACTGTTGTCTAAGCAACAACATACATGCTGTCCCCAAGGAACACACACATTCTTGCCCCCCAGTTGGGGTAGGAAGTGCGTGAGTGCAAGCTGCACAGCCCGAAGCTCTAGCACGTTGACCTGGTGCGCACTCTCCTGGGCAGACCGCTGACCCTGAACGGTCCTGCCCTGCCGCACTGCACCCCACCCTGAGAGACATGCACCTATGGTGATGGTCTCCTGGCGGGATGGGATGGCACCCATGGGCACGCCCACTAGGAGATAGGCCCTGCCCCTCCAGCGTGACAGAGAGTGGAGGCAATGCTGCGACACCCTGACTTCCCTGTGCCACTTGGCGTCCAAGTGAAGGCTGTTCAGCCACATCTGCATGGGGCGCAACGACAGCGGGCCTAAGGGCCCAGCGGCCGAGGCAGCTGCCAGTCTGCCCAAGGGCCGTAGGAACTGAATATAAGGCACCATCTTGCCAGGCCCACGTGGAAGTAGGCATCCCTCAAGTCCACGGTTGAGAACCACTCCACCTGTGCATATGCAGTGGTCAGCATATAGAATGGCAGCACCTTCGGGAATCTGTTGATTCCTCTGAGGTCCAAGATCGGGCGAAATCCGCCGACTTTCTTGCTCACGAGAAAGTACGCCGAGTAGAACCCCCTGGGCTAAGCAGAGGGTCTTACTGGCTTGATTGCGTCCTTGGACAGAAGGACGGACAACTCTTGGGCCAGAGCTAGGGCCCCTGCCGGATCGCTGACGACTGTCAATTAGACCCAGGCGAAGGCTAGGGGCCGGAGCTGCGGTCCGTACCCCTGGTTTAAGGTGAAAACCACCCAAGGGACGGAAGTACAGACCGCCCAGTAACTGAGCTGCTGCTGGGAAAGCAGCCGACAACCGGGGGGGCACTGGGGCACGAGGCCGTCTGGAAGGCGGGCGACCTGGGGCACGAAAGTCATTGGGTCGCGCCGCTAAGACCTCTGCAGATCACCCCTGTAATCCGGCGGCTGAGTGCGGCTGCTAGAGTGGCCCCTGGGCCTGCTGGGAGTGGGCACAGGTCTGCGAAGACCCGAGAGCTGCTGCCTGGTCTGCCTAGCTTGGGCGGCACACTCCAGTGCCTACAGGGCAGCTGACCTAAACAGCTCCCCTGGCTCGACTGGTACGCTACGGAGGACTCTCCTACATGCCTCCGTTAGTGGTGACTGGGCCAGAGAAACCTGGCGACGAGTCTGTACCAGCGACAAGGCCTCCTCATACAGAGGTGCATCAACCGAAGGAGGTGCGTCAGCCGAAGGAGGTGCGCCAACCAAAGGAGGTGCGCCAACCGAAGGAGGTGCGCCAACCGAAGGAGGGGCGTCAACCGAAGGCCCCTACACCGGGCCCAGGCTGAAGGACCAAGAGGCGACTTCATCATGCCCCTATCGGCAGCTAGCCGATCCACTTTAGAGGACAGCTTGTTTCTAGTCCTTCTATTGGGGGGAGCACACATAGCCATCGCTCCCTCAAGTCGCCGGGAACGGCCCAAATTGATCTGGAGGAGGATGTGACAAGGAGAGGTGTCTGTTGGCTGCTGCCAGACGTTCCACCTCAGTGATTCTAGCCACTCTGAGCGCCCGAGGCATGCAGCTACAGCTCATGCAGGCGTTTACCGTGAGAACCTCCCTCAGATGCTCACATTTCTCAATGGCTCAAAAGAAGCCATACAGGCGCTACATGAATGAGCCATTCCGTAGGTAGCCAGATGCAGCGTAGCCGGGAGCGGGTGCGGGAACACAGCCTTCACCAGCTACCTGCTTAATGGAAAGAGTAGAGCGTTGCTGCTACTCGCCGAACAGAAAGAGGGATGTAATTACACCCACGTTACCGGCAGAGGGAGCGGGAGCGAAAGCACTGCCTTCACCTGGCTGGATTATTAAACACGGCAGTTCAGCGTCTACCAGGAGCGGGGACGAGAACACTGCCGGCTGAGTTAGAGACGAATGCCAGATGCAGCATAACCGGGAGCGGGTGCGGGAACACAACCTTCACCAGCTACCTGCTTAACTAAAAAACAGGGCATTTCCGCATCTACCAGGAGCGGGGGCGAGAACACTACCTTCACTGGTTGAGTTAGAGACGAATGCCAGATGCAGCGTAACCGGGAGCGGGTGCGGGAACACAGCCTTCACCAGCTACCTGCTTAACGCAAAGACAAGGCAGTTCAGCGCCTACCAGGAGTGGGGGCGAGAACACTGCCTTCACTGGTTGAGTTAGAGACGAATGCCAGATGCAGCGTAACCGGGAGCGGGTGCGGGAACACAGCCTTCACCAGCTACCTGCTTAACGCAAAGACAAGGCAGTTCAGCGCCTACCAGGAGTGGGGGCGAGAACACTGCCTTCACTGGTTGAGTTAGAGACGAATGCCAGATGCAGCGTAACCGGGAGCGGGTGCGGGAACACAGCCTTCACCAGCTACCTGCTTAACGGAGAAACAAGGCAGTTCTGCGTCTGCCAGGAGCGGGGGCGAGAACACTGCCTTCACTGGTTGAGTTAGAGACGAATGCCAGACGCAGCGTAACCGGGAGCGGGTGCGGGAACACAGCCTTCACCAGCTACCTGCTTAACGGAAAAAAACGAGGCAGTTCAGCGTCTACCAGGAGCGGGGGGCGAGAACACTGCCTTCACTGGTTGAGTTAGAGACGAATGCCAGATGCAGCGTAACCGGGAGCGGGTGCGGGAACACAGCCTTCACCAGCTACCAGCTTAACGGAAAAACGAGGCAGTTCAGCGTCTACCAGGAGCAGGGGCGAGAACTCTGCCTTCACTGGTTGAGTTAGAGACGAATGCCAGATGCAGCGTAACCGGGAGCGGGTGCGGGAACACAGCCTTCACCGACTACCTGCTTAACGGAAAAGCGAGGCAGTTCAGCGTTTACCAGGAGCGGGGGCGAGAACACTGCCTTCACTGGTTGAGTTAGAGACGAATGCCAGATGCAGCGTAACCGGGAGCGGGTGCGGGAACACAGCCTTCACCAGCTACCTGCTGAACGGGAAGAGTAGAGCGGTGCTACTACTCACCGAACAGAAAAAGGGATGTAGCTACATCCGCATTACCGGTA